ATGGGAGTGTCAGAGACAGTGCGATTGGCACAGGACAGAGCAGAGTTTAGGGCTGTTGTACATAGGGTCGCTATGAGTCGCAAGTGACTTGACGGCACATAACAACAACAACAGGAATGATCTTATGAAACAATGAATAGGAATGAAACAGGATGTATACTAATTCTGTATGCAAATAATTATGAAATAAAAACAAATTTTAAAAAATAATGAGCTATAAAGTCCAAGAAAAATTAATTTAAAAAATAATGCAGATTTCTGGGTAAGATGGTTGACTGGACACTCCTCTTGCATGAAGACCCCAGAGAGCAAAGACACAGGGATAAACGGATGCTCTTCTAGAAAGAGAAGCTTTGTCATACATACTGTGGGCATGTTGTTAGGAAAGGCTATTCCCTAGAAGAAACATCATGCTTGGAAAGGTGGAAAGTCAGCGAAAGAGAGGACGACCCTCAATGAGATAGACTCACACAATGACTGCAGCAATGGGCAGGACAGGACAGGGGTCAGATAGTTGTTCACAGGGTTGCTATGAGTTGTACTTGATTCAGTGGCAACAACAACACGGACAGCGAATCTTTCACAAAGAAATGAGACCCATTAGATGGGAGTAAAACAGCCTCTTCAACACACGGTGCTGGCAAGACAGGAGATTTGCAGAAAATTGAAATAAGATCCATGCCTCATACTAAGCATAAAAACTAGCTCAAGATGTATCAAGGACCCGGGCTTTGTTGTTGTTTGAAAACTGTAAAGATCTTCAAAGAAAAACCTGGGGCAGACTTAGGAAATCCTAGTCAATGGCACAATGGACTATAAAATCTAACTGAAAAGCCACAATCAATAGAGGATAAACTGGATTTTGAGTTCTCCTAAAAAGAAAATATTCATGTACATCAGAAGATTTCTCCAACAGAGTTAAAAGAGAGCCTACAAAATAATGATAAAGAAATTCAAGTTGTACCAAAGGTACTGGCAAAAAATAAGGCCCTAGGAACTGGTGGAGTACCAATCAAGGTGTTTCAGGAAAAAGACCCTGCCCAGGTTGTGTTCAACAATCTCTGCCAGGAAATTTGGAAGACAGTTGCCTGTCTGGTCAACAGACTGAAAGAGATCCCTATATGTGCCAATTCCAAAGGGAGGTGATCCAATAAAATGTGGAAATTCTCAAACAGTATCATTAATACCCTATGCAAGTAAAATCTTACTGAACACTACTGAAAAATGGTTGGAACAGTTTATCAACAGGGAACAGCCAGAAATTCAAGATGAATTCAGAAGAGACTGGAACTAGGCTTTTACTGCTGCTGTCAGATGAAGCTTAGCTGAAATCAAGAGAGTATCAGAAAGATATATAGTGACTTGTGTTTACCGATGGTGCAAGTCTTTGATTGTGTGGCTCACAGCAAATTACAGCTAATATTGAGAAGAATAAGAATCCTAGGCCACTAAAATATGCTCCTATGAAACCTACACATAAACCAAGAAGCTGCTGCCCAAACGGAACAAGGGGGAGCTGCATGGTTTAATATTAAGAAAGGTGTGTATCAGGGTTGTATATTTTCTCCATACCTACCCAATCTGTATGATGAATAAATCATCTGAGAAGCCAGGGAAGTTTTGAAAATCAGTGTGGCATCAGGATCGCAGAATGGCTCAGCAACAGCGTCAATTATGCAGATGACAGAATCCTGCTCATAGAAACTAAAGATTTGAAGCATGCACTGAAGAACATCAAGGACTACAGAATTCCACATGGATTACATAACATGAACAAAACAAAAACCCTTTCCACTAAACCAACAGGAAGTATGATGATGGATGGAGAAAAGATTTTTCAATTATTTTACTTGTCTCCAAAATCAACACTCAGGGTGTAGCAGTCAAGAAACTCAAAGGATGTGTTGAACTAGATCTATCCAGAACTTCTCCAAAATACAAAGCAAGGTGCACCTGACCCATGCCATGGCATGTCCAGTTGCTTCCTATGCACCCTGAAAGCTGGACAGTGAATAAGGAAGACAGGAGAAGACTGTAAGACTTTATGCTGCAGTGCAAAAAAGAGTACTGGCTATCCTCAGGACTGCCAAAACAAGTCTATTTTGGATGAAGTGCAACCAATGTACCCCTTAGAAGCAAGTATGGTAAAATTTCATCTCACATACTTTGAGCATGTTGCCAGGAGAGATCAGACCTTGGGTACAGAATCATCGTGGGAAAGGTGTAGGGTGGCTTGGGCACACAATGGGCCCCAGGATGGCATCGATTATAAGGATGGTACAAGGTTTATGGTTTGTAAGGCTATGCGGCAGAGTCCACTCGATGGCATCTAACAACAGATCGGGGGGACTGCCAAGGACATGGCTGACAAGGGACTAATGTCTAAAAGGTACAGAAAACTCTAACACCTCAACAAGAAAAGGACAAAAAGCCCAATAACAAAAGAACATGAAAGACATGAAATGCAAAAGTTGGGAACAAAGAAGAACCTGTAGTCATAAAATAAGGACCTGGTGACAGAAATGAGACTGGAGACACAATGATAGACTTTTGTACAATCAATGTTTTATTAATCACAAATACTTTTATAAAAAACACGGTGACTATACACATGGGACCTCATCCGATGGGACTACACAGGAATGAGATTGATTGCGTCTATGGAAAGAATCACTGAAGAAGCTCATTATCAGCTGTGAAAACCAGTCCAGGTGCTGACTATCATAAACTATTCATATTCAAGTTCAAATAGAAGCAAAAGAAAATGAAAACAAGCCCACAAGAACCATTACTGTAGAATGAGTATGAGGATCCAAGTGGGGTGGGGTGGAAGCAGAGGGGTGA